AGGTAGAAACTGTGTATAGTAATTAAAATAAAGAGAAACAATTTTCAAAGTCTGGGCAAGGATCAAGCTGCAATAAAAATCACCAATGCTTGAAACACTCAAGTGCTAATGGGAGAATTTGCTTTTAATTCCCAGTTTAAGTGGGAATGCTGCCTAATAAGGAACAGATGGATGTTTTAATATTGCTAAGGGCTGACAAGAGGTTATACTCCAAAGTATTCCATAGTCTTCCTTCATGACTGTCACTCTTTACTTCCCCTCTGGCCCCAAAGTCCTCAGTTTCACCCTCAGTAACCTTCCTATACACTCATCACTGCCCCACACCCCACCCTAATCCTTGTTCTCCTTCCCCAGAGTTGCTCAGTTATTCTAAGAAAAGGCTGAAAGCTGGGATCACATTGCCTGCAGGCCTAAGGAACTGGGTGGTCCATCATTACTAATCTAAATAAATGCTCTGAGGAAACTGATTAGTCGCCTCTGATGATGCTTCTCTGTATGAGTGCTACCCATGCTCATAACCCACCATGGCATCTTAGGTGTCCAGGTGGGTTTTGAGGGTGGGACAAAGATAGGATTGTCAGATCTGGTATATAAAAATGTAGGGTGCCCAGTTAAAATGGATTTTAGATGAACAATAAATAATTTTAGCGTAAAAATTATACTATATATGTCTTATGCAATATTTAGGACACAGTTACACTAAAAAAATTATTCATTATTTATCTGAAATTTAAACTTAACTGTGTGTCCTTTGTCTTATCTGGCAAAGACTGGGTGTCTTTCAGTGCTTTTCAATTCCCCAAACAGACACAACTACCTGTTTTGCCAGCTCTTGTTGCTGGGGGTACAAGTCAGTGAAATGGTTTAATTAGAAAATTTCATAGCATACAAAACTCAGAATGTACCTTTCTTCCTTAATAAATATGTGCATCAAGTCAACTGAATGGCCTTTTTGTGAAGAAAAGCCTCGTTCTTGGCACTAAAGGTAGTCCCTGGACCAGCATCCACATCAGCATACTGGGGTGCTTATTAGAGAGGCAGAAGTTTTCATGGTTCCATGAAATTTTAAGGTTGTTTATTTCTATTTCTGTGAAAAATCCCATTGGCACTTTGATAGGGATTGCAAATGAATCTATAGTCGGCTCTAAGTGGTATGAACGTGTTAACAATATTCTGAACAATCCATGAACATGGAACATCTTTCCATTTATTTGCATCTTCAGTTTCTTTCACTATGTCCCATAGATCTCAGTGCACAGGTCTTTCACTTCTTTGGGTAAATTCAGGCCTATTTATTTTATTATTTTCTATGCTATTGTAAATGGAATTATTTTCCTAACTTTCTGTCAGATGGTTCATTATTAGTGTATAGAAACGCGACTAATTTTTGTATTTTGATTTTACACCCTACAACTTTACTGTTGATTTGCTAATTACTGTTTGCTTTGTTCAAACTGAATGAGTAAAACTGACTTACCACTTACCAACAGTTTGGTGTATTTGAAAACTAAAATAATTAGAATGTTATGGGAATTGTGTGGGAATATAAAGAGATAACAAAGGAACAGAATTTTAAGAATTTGGGGGTGCCTGGGTAGCTCAGTCAGTCAAGTGACTGACTCTTGATTTTGGCTCAGGTCATGGTCTCAGGGTCATGGGATTGAGCCCTGTGTCAGGCTCTGCACTGAGCATGGAGCCTGCTTGGGATTCTCTCTCCCCCTCTGTCTCTGCCCCTTCCTTCCTGTGCTTTCTCTCTTTCTCAAAACAAATTAATAAACATTAAAAAAATAATTTTAAAAAATTCAAAAATGGCCAAAGTAATAGGTAAATTGTATACAAAGATAAAGTTGTATTTTGCAATCACTTAAAAAGGACACACTCTTCAACAAGTGATGTTTAAGCAGCTAGCTAACCACTTCCAGGACACCAAAACAAAATCCAACCAATCACACTTAGATGGCGAGTTAAGCTATAGAATTAAAACTCTAAAATTACTTGAAGAAAATGTGAACAATTAACCATAGAATCAATAAGAAAGGATTCTAAGGGCTTCAGAAGAAGGCTTTTCAGAATACTCAGTCCACGACACTGATGATTGAAATAGAAATAGATGTCCTCTTTTTTCAGAGCCTATAATTTTAATTTGTACAAACTATATTTGGTTCTGTTTTCCAAATAAGTCTTAAAAAAAAGTTGTAACATCCTCATCAAAAAAAGGCACCGTTTAAAACTGTTTATCTAGTATTATCTAGTATTAACTGTTTATCTAGTATCGAATATTATTAATAGTATTTAATACTAAGCCAGTATGATCTAGTTTATCTAGTATTTATCTAGTATTTGCACTTATTCAAGTCATGTTCTCATTGGGCTCCACATAGAATGTATGTCAAGCATGCGGCGCCTGGGTGGCGCAGTCGGTTAAGCGTCCGACTTCAGCCAGGTCACGATCTCGTGGTCCGTGAGTTCGAGCTCCGCGTCAGGCTCTGGGCTGATGGCTCGGAGCCTGGAGCCTGTTTCCGATTCTGTGTCTCCCTCTCTCCCTGCCCCTCCCCCGTTCATGCTCTGTCTCTCTCTGTCGCAAAAATAAATAAACGTTGAAAAAAAAAAAAAAAAGAATGTATGTCAAGCAGTGGCAGTTCAGTGACCAAATCGAAAAGTCATAAAACATCCTTATTGTTAGAATTTAAGGTTGTAATTTATGAACTATATTAGTTTCATAGTAATGCTACACTCAGTTACCATAAACAAGGTGGTTTAAAACAAAAAACGTATGATCTTAGAGTTCTGTGGGTTAGAAGTCCAACATGGGTCTCACTGGACTAATAATCAAGATGTTGCTAGAACCACATTCCTTCTGGAGGTTCAAGGGGAGAATCTGTCCTTGCCTTCTGCTTCTGAATACTACTGGCATTTGTTGGCTTCTGGCTCCCTCCTTACATCTTTCAAGCCAGCAATGGAAGATCCAGTCCTTCTCACATTGCAACTTTCTGACCTTCCTCCCTAGTTACATCTCCCTCTGACTCTCTTTTGCCTCCATTCCATTTTCCGCTTATAAGGACCCTTGTCATCACACTGGGCCCATCTGGATAATCCAGGATAATCCCCCTATTTTAAGGTCATCTAATTATCAACTTTAGTTCCATCTGAAACTTTAATTCCCCTTTCATTGCAACCAAACATTTCCACAAGTTCCACAAAGTAAGGCACGAACATCTTCTGGGGGCCATTATTCTGCCCATCATCAGAGCCCTGATTTATACCCTCACTTTACAAAAGAAATGGACGCCCAGGGTGATTATGCACTCGGATTACACATGTTAACACAAAGGCCTTTGATCTCTAACTCATTAATTAACATCTTTGTTGGCATTGCAGTGATCTTCCTAGTGTGGTAGGTACTGTCAGAATATAAAATACTTAAATAAATCACAGTCCCTGACCTCAGAGGACTTATAAGCAACGTGTTCATGAAGCATGGAGTAGGGAGAAGAAAGAAGGAATTCTAAGCCAAAGAACATTTGTTACATCTTCACTTGACAACCAAGTAGGAGAGAATAAAATGCAACCCTTACTACTGTAATTAACAGTATAAGAGCAAACCAGCAAATGATGATTGTAGAAATATAGCACAATCATAAATTCTGGTGGCATGCTTATATAGCTATCAAGAGCAATGTATTCAGGCCTTAGAGCTCATTTCAACTTTTGATTGAGACTTTGAAATCAAGTAGTTATATGAAGTCTCAGTTTCCTCTTCAATAAAATTTGAGTATTACCTATTCGATAGGCTTTGCATGAAGAGTATGTATAAAGCTTAGAACATAATGTGGCTCCTATTAAGTGTCCAATAATTGCAGGACTTATTATCATTAAAAGTTGTAATTCAAGGAAGATTATACACCATAGAAACTCACCTCTGAGCTTATACTATAAAAAGAAAGTTTGAGAGAGTGAATAATTTCTAAAGTATCTTGATAACCTAAATTCACTTACATACAGAGAACCCAGCTGTGGCTTTAATTGCCTGATATTTACATCAATTCGATTAAAGACTCTGGAAATAAAAAAAGCATTTAGTTTTTCCTGAATGTCCACATCTATAAAAGAAAATTATAAGAATGATTTTATCAAGGAGAAGTAGATCTTTCCAGATGCTGATGGAGAATGGCCCTTGCTAGCAAATCGTATTAATAGAATAGAATCCTAAAAATGGAATATCTCCAAGTAATTTCCCATCCAAACATTAACCAAGCTCACACTTGATCCCAGAGTTTGTGTGTGTATATATGTGTCTATCAAGAAATAAACTTTTGTATTAAATAATAAACAGAAAATTAGAATTTTGTGCCCACTGTTACTTTAACTTTTTCTTCCTGAAGGTTTATATTTGTAGAATTATTGCTCACATTTCATATACTATTCCTCACAAAACTATGCAGTGCAAGGATTTCATAGTACACTGTCAAGAAAACGATGTTAAGAGAATCAAGGAAATTGCTTGGTGTTGGTATGTTGGTTCTTTTCCCCACTGACATTTTTGTATAGTATTGCACTGCCTTGTTCTAAACACACTAGCATAGAACGTTCGCTATGTGGGTCAAAAACAATCTGCTTTCTTTGCATCCTATTAGAAAATGAAGCTGGCAAATTAAAAGACTCACTTGGGATAAGGCAGCTTTAAAATTATTGCCTAGGGGTGCTGGGGTGGCTCAGTCAGTTAAACGTCCAACTTAGGCTCAGGTCATGACCTCACGGTTCATGGGTTCAAGCCCCGCAACAGGCTCTGTGCTGACAGCATGCAGCCTGCTTTGGATTCTGTGTTTCCTTTGCCCCTCCCCAGCTTGTGCGTGCGCGCGTGAACTCTCTCTCTCTCTCTGTGTCTCTGTCAAAAATAAATAAACATTAAAAATAAAATATAAATAAATAAAATAAAATAAAATAAATATTGCCTAATCCAAGACAAGTATGTTTTCAATATTGTGGCAGGCAAAACAATGCCCTCCCCCCAGAGATGTCCATGCTCTAATCCCCCAAACCTGTGCATATGTTAGGTGGGATTAAGGTTGCTAAATCAGCTGACCTTAAAATAGAGAAATTATCTCAGATTATTCAGGTGGGCCCCAAATAGTGACAACAGTCTATTTAAGAAGCAGGAGGCAGGAGAGTCCAGAGGACTGGTCAGAATGATCCAGTGTGAGCAAGATTTGACCCTTTCATTGCCAGCTTAGAAGACAGAGAAAGGGACCTGTGAGCCAAGGAACGTGGGTGACCTCCAGAAGGTGGAAAAGGTAAGGAAATGGATACTGCTCCAGAAGAAATGCAGCCCTGGTGATGTCTTGATTGTAGCCCAGGAGAACTCACGTTGGGCTTCTAACCTACAGAGAACTCTTAGACAATAGATTCACGTTGCTGTTAAGCCACTAAATTTGAGGCAATCTGTTGTGGCAACCATAGAAAACCAACACAAATATGAAACGACCAGCTCTGCTAATTACGGTGGACCTGAGAGATGGGGAGACTCGATCCCGTTTGTCCAAGTCTTTCAGTGAACATTCATTTTCTGACTGGGGCTGGCAGATAAAATACAGGATGTCCAATGAAATATAAATGTCAATTATACAATGAATATACTGTTTTGGTATAAGAATGGGCAATATTTGGTACATGCCTATATGAAAAACTATCCATCCTATCTGAAGTTCAAATTTAACTGGATGTCCTGTATTTTTATTTGCTAAATCTGGCCACCTTATTTCTAATCCAGATATGGGGGAAATTCCAGGAGTTACCGCTGGTCATCAGAACTGCTCCCTGCCAACCAAGCTGAAACCCGCTCCTTTTCAAAAAAAATTTTTTTAATGTTTGTTTATTTTTGAGAGAGAGAGAGAGAGAGAGAGCGAGAGAGAGCACACGTGCATGAGTGGGGATGGAGCAGAGAGAGAGAGACAGACACACACACAGAATCCGAAGCAGGCTCTAGGCTCTGAGCTGTCAGCACAGAGCCCGATGTGGGGCTTGAACCCATGAACCCTGAGATCATGACCCAAGCCAAAGTCGGACACTTAACCGACTGAGCCACCCAGGCGCCCCTGAAACCCACTTCTTAAGCATTCTCCCCCTATATTTTGGGTCTAAGTTATCATGCACTGCCTGTCTTTCTCTACGATAATAGTGTTGCCTGGTGTCCATCTCTAGACATGGTATTACTGTCACGAATTGCAGATAAAGGTCAGCAGATTTTTGCTAAATGTGATAGTCCTATAATCATCCAGAGTTTCATGTGCATTGTCCTCCTTGGATTTCACCCAAGTGTAATTTCTCCTCTGCCAAAATGCCGTGGTGACTATCCAAGCACTACTTAGAGAGCGATATTCAGGCTCTGACCCTGGGCGTAAATGTATTCCCTCTGCTTGTTTTAAATAATCTCATTTCCACAGCAGCTGTTGATTCTGCTTTGCTGAACTGTTCAGTAGATTGCGCAGGAATGCCATTAAATGTGAACAAATTAGCAGGCCTTCTCCCACAGCACTTTCATCCAGCTGTAAACTTACATTTTGAAAATCATGACTCATGCATAACTGTACATTTAGCAATCTAACATTTTCCAAAAGAATTACATAGCTCCTTTCAATGGGTTCTTACATTGCCGATGAACAGGTAAGAGCAGAGCATCTGTCTCTAGGTCAGAAAGTATATTGTGGTGCAACTTCTATTCTCATAGTATTGCAGCTGCTGGTTGGAATAACTTGTTCCTCATTCAGCAGGGTAAGGTGAGGAAGGTGGGATGTTAATTCTAAACAAGATTTAGGGGTATAATTGTAAATTTATGTGAAACCAACATCTTTCCATTAATATACTTGGGTTTCACTCCACGAATTGTGTTTTTTTTTTAATGATAGAAGATTTTCAATATAAATTCTTGTTATTTGTAACAAAATTATTTTTTTTTAATTTTTTTAACGTTTATTTATTTTTGAGACAGAGAGAGACAGAGCATGAACAGGGGAGGGGCAGAGAGAGAGGGAGACACAGAATCGGAAGCAGGTTCCAGGCTCTGAGCCATCAGCCCAGAGCCCGACGTGGGGCTCGAACTCGCGGACCGTGAGATCGTGACCTGAGCTGAAGTAGGACGCTTAACCGACTGAGCCACCCAGGCGCCCCACAAAATTATTTTTTAAAGATTCACGTTCCCAACCATGAATAATGTCCATTCTAGTCATTGAAGTTTTGAATGATACCAGTTTTGTTGCCTTTTTAGAGATTTGGGAAAGAATATACACAGATCTGGATAAAATTTTCATTCGGCACACGTACAACGTTTCACTGTATCGCCCAAGTAAGAGGTACCATTACACGGTACAATTATAATCCTCGCTGTCTTTTCCTTTTGGATAAATGGCAAATCGCGGAAGTTCGGATACTATGGTAAGAGATAAAGCTCTTGAAAATGTAGAACCTCTTCAAAGTTATGTTACTTTGAAATACAGGTAAAGAACCAAGACCCCAAGAAGAAAAAGATCTTGCCTAAGGACTTAAGGCAGGTGATAAAATACAAAATCAAAATGGAAACAATGCAGGTTGTACCGCAAGAGCAGAATCATAAAAGGTGGAAAAATGAGGGTAGAAACGGAAATACCATCAGGATAATGTTATTGTCACTGATCCTAGCCATGAATTCCTGCCCGGGTTCTTCATAAAGAGAACACCATGCAACGTACAAGCAAAAACATCCTACAGATTCCAGACAAGAACCTGATCCGAAACCCCGATCTCCTGACTTTCTACCATGCTGCGTAGAGATGCCGGCTACCCATTCTTCCCGGCACGAGTGAACTGTAGATTCCCTATGACATCTTCATTTTCTTCTACCCTTCAGTGGGCTGGAAGGCCAAGTCTCTCTGATTATAACTCAAGGTAACTTTATTATCTGTGGGTTGTTTTTTTAATTAAATGTTCATCTAGACTAAGAGCTCCAGAGGGATGAGTTCCAAGTATACAGTATAATTAGAGGTTAATTGTTTTTGATGAATGAATTAAAGAATACTGTCCTAAGGGCGCCTGGGTAGCTCAGTCAGTTAAGGGTCCAACTCTTGATTTCTGCTCAAGTCACGATCTCATAGTTCCCGAGTCTGAGCCCCTTATCGGGTTCCATGTTGACAGTGCAGAGCCTGCTTGGGATTCTGTCTCTCTCCCTCTCTCTCTGACCCTCCCCTGTGGGCAAGCACACTCTCTCTCTCTTTCAAAATAAATAAATAAACTTAAAAAAAAAAAAAAAAGAATACTGCCCCAGCTTTAGCATATAGACAGAAAGATCTATGCTGTCAGGCCAATCTCAATTTTGTACGTGGATACTTATGAAAAGCCACTGCTGGGGCGCCTGGGTGGCGCAGTCGGTTGAGCGTCCGACTTCAGCCAGGTCACGATCTCGCGGTCTGTGAGTTCGAGCCCCGCGTCAGGCTCTGGGCGGATGGCTCAGAGCCTGGAGCCTGTTTCCGATTCTGTGTCTCCCTCTCTCTCTCTGCCCCTCCCCCGTTCATGCTCTGTCTCTCTCTGTCCCAAAAAAAATAAATAAAAACGTTGAAAAAAAAAATTAAAAAAAAAAAAAAAAGAAAAGAAAAGCCACTGCTATTTGGCAAATGTACTCATGAGGTTCTGGTAAGCATTACATTTTTCGGGAAAAGGGAAGCTGTGTTAATAGCAGCTTGTAAACTTCCATGAGGCCACCTTCTCTGGCTTCCTCGACGCTACTCAGAACAGGTCCTGAACACTGCACCAACAGCCTGAATATCTACATGCCATATATCCCGGTACGAATTGGGTACGGCAGGAAGTACTTGTTACAAAATGTAAATAAAGTGCTTCTTTATTTTTATCATCAGTAAGCAATTTTGAATACAAATGTTAAATACTTAAAAAGACACGGTTTCTTCCAGGGCCAATTTACTAGCTGAAATAAAAAAATCAGTGTCTCCCATGAGGCAGAGTTTTCCTTTGCTGTTTTCATGAAGTTTTTCCGGCTCTGCTTTGTACCAAGGAGAAACTCCGTTAATTTACATTCTTTATACACGGAGTAAAAAGCAGTAGTGTTCATGGTCACTGGGAAGTACGAAGCTTCATTGACTAAATTTTACATTCCTTTTTTTAAGTTTATTTCTTTATTTTGCAATAGAGAAGGGGGGTGGTGTAGAGAGAGAGGGAGGGAGAGAATCCCAAGCAGGCTCCGCGCTGTCAGCACAGAGCCCAGCGTGGGACTCGAACCCACGAACCATGAGATCATGACCTGGGCCAAAATCAAGAGTCAGATACTTAACTGACTGAGCCACCCAGGCACCCTTAAATTTTATACTCTTAAGAACATCCCTTGTATTCATCATATCAGAAGGTAGGTGATTTATTTTAATATCTATAGTCTTTTATCATTTTTTTTATTTGGATAAACTTCAAATATCCACAAAAGTAGAGGGAACAGGACCATGAAATCCCACATATCCATCATCGCCTGACAACCCCCAGCCACTGTCAGCCACTGTTATCTCAGCTACGATTCCCTTTCCCCAACACAACTATCGTGAAGCAGGTATCAGAGATGACATTATTGGTAAAAATTTCAGTATGTATTTCTAAAAGGCAAGAACCCTTTGGTTAAGCCCCACTGCCATTCTGTCATCACATTACAACACCTAGCAGCAACCCTTCCCACCACCACACGGCCCCGGAAATGATTTTTACTGGTTCTTTGTTCAGGGCTTTGGACAAACGTTTTCTACCAGCCAGTTTGGTTCCAGGTGACGTGTGGCACATTGGGACATTTTATTAATTCGTTCATGGCGATTATGCATTCAGTGCCCAATATATGTTGGGGAGAGTTGGGGGTCCTTGGGACACGTGAGTAAGTAAAACAGACACAGCCCCTGCCTTGTTTGAGCTCGTACTGTAGGAGGATGAGACAGGACATAATTAATAAGAATAATGAAGGTGAACACGCACATTTGATAAAGGTGCCAAGCACTTTGGGAGGGGAGGAAAAGACGACAGCTGGGTAAGAGTTATTTGGGAATCCTGGGCAGGGTCGTGGTTTTAAAAAGGGAATTGGGAGGAGGCCTGACTGGGCGGGGTGTTCTGTGAGCAAGACTGTAAAGGCGAGAAGAGAATTAACCACATAAGTATCCAGAGGACAAGTGTCTCAATCAGAAGCTGCTGACTGAAGTCTCTAGGACGGTATAAGCCTGGCATGTTCCGGAAACAACAAGAAGGCCCCAAAATGTAATATTACTTCATTAAAATAAGCGAAGACCCGAGTAAAAGAAAGTAGCTGCAAGAAAGCATAAAGAGAACAAACACAACACTCCGCTCCATGACCGTGATGAGCTCTACGTAGGAAATGGCCCTGATTTGACCACAACAGCTCCCCCATGCTCCTCAGGTGGTTATATGTCCCCAAAGAGAGAGATCCCACAACCAGGACTTCATGTGCACAGGGCAAGATAGATAATCACGAGAGAGATAATCACGAAGGTCACAGATAATCACGATGGCCCCATTCCCTGTCCCACAGGTGGGTTAGGCATGGAATGGCGGCCAATGAGTCCAACCAATGAGACCTGCATGGAAGCATGGTAAGGGCTTCCCTTAATGGTTTCCTCCAATAATAAAAGGACACATGGAATGAGAAGCATTCTGATCATATCCCTTCCAATGGAAATATCAAAATGGTGACACTCACACACTGCTGGTAGAGGTATTAATTACTTCAATTTTGCCAAAAGAATACGACTAATCATTTTCATCATAATGCTATCATACTTAGAGCTAAATTTTATCTCTTACTATATATCAGGCACTGTGCAACGTGTCTTACAATGTCTCATTTATTCGTTAAAACAACCCTACGAATTAGATATTATTTTCTTGAGAAATGAGGAAAATAAGCCTTAAGGTAGTTAAATGCTTTTCTCAGTTTCACGGAGGCAGTACACTAGAAGAGGTTGTGAAATTCACAATGAAATTATTCTAAGGAAGTGATAAAAATAGACATAAAGGTACACACACAAAGATATGTGCCAATTGTTTGGTATAATGTGAAATTTTGAGAGAGAGAACATACAAATCCCCACAGCACTGAGGAACCGTTTAACTAAATCAGGCTACATCTGAATAGAGGGCTGGGTAAGGCTTGGAGAAAAGATACGAGAGCAACATTACATTCAGGAAAAGATTCTTTTTTTTCTTTTTTTCTTCCTCCTTCCCTTCCTCCCTCCCTTCCTTCCTCCCTCCCTCCCTCCCTCCCCTCCTTGAAGCAGTATCCCACCAGACAGCCATCCCCAGATGAAGGCTGTCACAACAGTGGACCCCAGGGGAGCCAGAGCTGGAGCTGGCTCACCATCCCCACCTCTGGGTGAACAATTCAAAGCACTGCATCCCTCCTGGCACCATCCTCAACCTGCAAATTCTCCTATAGTTTCTTGGGGAGACGTCAGCCCCAACCTCTCAGCAGCACTGAATCCCTCTTTCAATATGGGTTGGCACTGATATTTCACGGCTGACCATGAGGAAATAAGTTGGCCAAAGACCACCCTGGCATGGAGTGAGAATTCCAGGGAGAGCAGAGAGGATAAGCTGGTCCCGAAGGCCTCCCCACGTGGGCATCCAGGCTGGAGGCTCAGGCCAATAAAGCTTTCCTGGGAACCCCTCCCACACCAGGCTGAAAGGCGACTGAAGGCACAGTCTCTTGGGCCCCCTTCCAAAAGACTAGCAGCCTGATGCCACACCTACACCACCCCCAGAAGCCCAGCTGGGAGGGACAGAGGGAAGCAGAGAGGAAGGAAGAGAGCGTGTCAAACACCAGAGAAGTTTCAGGAAGCAAAGGGCCTAATCATGTCCTTAATTAAAGTGCAGCTCCTGAAAAGTCTCTTCTGAAATTGGACCAGCTCAATTACCGTCTTGTCCTGACAACCCCCTCCACCTTTCCTGGACCTCTTGCTCTATAGCCTCTCAAAAGTCCAGCCTTCTCCAAAGTGAGAGCCCATGGAGGCATCTGCTGAAGACAAAGGAAAAACTGGCATCTTGACCTGAAAACACTTGAAAGTCTCAGCCTGTGCACCAAATACACAAATTTTGGACCCCCACGTTCATTCCCTACTGTGGTTGCTTCCTCTGTGGAGATCGGCAACTCTGAGCATCACTAGGGAGAGAGCGGGGCCACAATGGGGACAGCTGTGCCTGTAGAGACCTTGACAACTGACTTCAATGCCCAACTTGCACGGGAGGTGAAGCGTTTGCCAAAATGCACCTGGCTAGTTCTCCACTAGTCTTACTAGGGGGAAGCCAGCTCTGTGGGTAATCTCACAGAGTATTTACATCTGCTCTTAGAATAAAGGATAAACTCTGATCTTCTAAAAATCGTTGCTTGCTTGTGCAGCATTTGATTTATACCTTTAATCATGTTTTACTGAATTGGTGTGTGTCTCCCCAAGGCACAGCAACTGGATGGGAGGCACAGTGTCCGGGTGGGGCCCCAGCATTGGGGTGTCCAGGCCCGGACGTGAACGCTCATAGAGGAGACCCAGGAGTTCACTCCATTGGGCTAATGACCAAGAACAAGTAAAATGCCACAAGCAAGCAAAGGTGTCTCATTTTAAGAGGCAAGTTCATATAGAGTCTTGACTTTTTGACTCAGCCCAGGACAGCCTTTGGGGACAGAGGTGCAGTAAGGTCCGTGGACTGAGACAGTGTTGTGGGTATTTTCACCTTGGTTCTCAGCCCAGGGTCCTATAGTTGCTTGAGCCATCAATGCCTGCAAGAGACAGGGGCAGAGTCCACAGGTCCCAGGGGCTGGGAGCAGGGAAGCCCAGGCTATTGGGTTGTCTGTGTGGACCTGCTTTGAAAGGGCAGAGATGGGTATTAATAGGGGGTCAGCTGTCCCCGGTCCTTCCCACCATGCATCCCAGTTTGTGGTGGGAAGTAGGTGAGTAGGGAGAAACCCTATGCGATTCTCAGTATTAATCAGAGACCTGCTTGACAATGGTGCCCCGTCTTTCTGCTTTAAACCTCGGGGTTACTTCTCTGAAACACCTGCATAAAAATTAAAAGTCATACATGAAGGGTATGACTAATTATACACGTGTAATTTATAACCATATCTAAATGTATAGTGTAAACAAAATGACATGTTTGTAGAATTATAAAACGTTTACAATTATATAAAGCATTGATAATTATATACAATTTATATAAAATTTGACATAATTACATCAAATCTATAAGCTTGATATAGAAATATATTTGTGGATAATATCCTACATTAAAATAATACAAATGTTATATAAAACTATAAATATATGTTGTACATGTTAAATGTACATATATGTACGATATATGTACACATGTATATAGATATGTGATAACATATAAACAGCATATATAAATCTATATGTGGTGATGGATGTTAATTAGATTGATAATAAATATAAAATATATTCATGTGGGGCGCCTGGGTGGCGCAGGCGCAGTCGGTTAAGCATCCGACTTCAGCCAGGTCATGATCTCGCGGTCCGTGAGTTCGAGCCCCGCGTCGGGCTCTGGGCTGATGGCTCAGAGCCTGGAGCCTGCTTCCGATTCTGTGTCTCCCTCTCTCTCTGCCCCTCCCCCGTTCATGCTCTGTCTCTCTCTGTCCCAAAAATAAATAAATGTTAAAAAAAAAAAATAAAAAAAATATATTCATGTGTATTCTATATACACTTTATACATTATAGCATAGTGTACCTTTTTATAAATTATAAATTTAAATATAATTTAATGCTAATAATTATGTATTATGTGTATACATAATTATATATTTTTATATGTGTACGTTATATACTTACACTATTATGTAACATATCATTATATTTTGGGTATTTATATATTAATGTACACAGTGTGTATATGAGGTGTGCATATACTATAAGTGTATAAAGTTCTATATACTGTGCCCAAATACATTGGAGAATACTGTCATACGTATGTGTGCAGCCTGTGCTCCACGCTTGTAGACAATATGTACCCTGGACTCTGTCCACGAGGCGCCACCAGGTGGTCCTGGCAGCTGCAAAGGGTCGTCGCGGACGGGGTCTTCCCCCAGAGCTGCACCCCGCGAGGCCAGGGCCGCTCCCCGCCACCCCGCACAGGCAGCGCCCCCCCCTGCACCTGCACCCCCAGGACACGCAGGGTGGTGGACGCTGACCCCCGTGGTCCCGTCTACCTGACGCGGCGCCCCTCCCTCTGCCCCCGCAGCCCCGACGACACCCGCCCCGGGTCCCCGAGGTGAGTCAACCCTGCAAAGGAACCCAACCCTGCCCTCCCCCGGCGCGTCCTGGAGAGCTGCAGGGCTGCGGGGGCGCGGGCGGCGAAGGCCTACCTGGAGGTGCTGGCGGCTCCACGCCACGTCCCCGCCGCGCGTCCTCCGTCCTGCGTCCTCCAGGGCCTCGCCCCTCGACGGGGAGCAGCTGGGCGCTGACCTCGGGCTGACCCCGGGCTGACCCCGGGCTGACCCCGGGCTGACCTGGGGCCAGGAGGCGGGGCTGGCCCAGGGCCTAGGCTGTGGCTCCCCCCGCCCACGCTCTGCCCCTCAGATGGCCCCAGCCTCTGGGGGGAGGGGGGGCCTCGCGGACGGAGAGAAGCCCCCCTGCTGCCTGAGGAGGGGCTCCCGGGCTCACCGGCCCGGCGCAGGCTGGTCCTGGGGACCCCCGGAATCCCCCCGCCCCCTCCTCCCACCCCATGCAGGTGCCAGGCGTCTCAGAGCGGCCTTGCGACGGCGCCACCGTGCGGCTGTCCCCGGGGCCGCACCTGCCGCACCTGGCGGCCGGGACCCTCCCGCCGGGACCCACGAGGCCTGCCCAGAGCAGTGTGACTGTAGCAACTGAAAGACCGCACTTGTCAAAAAAAAATAAAAAAAATAATAAAATAAAAAAGACTGGGTGACTTAAACAGCAAATTTTTATTCCTCAATTCTGAGACTGGAAGCTGGGAAATCCAAGATCAAAGTGGGGCAGATCCTGTGTCTGGTAAGAGCCCACTTCTTGGTTTGCAGCCGCATCTCCTGGGTGTAGCCTCACAGGCGGGAGAGGAGCCAGCTAGCTCGCTGGCCTCTTGCAAAAGCCCCAGTGCCGCTCCTGAGGGCCCCACCCTCGAGTCCTCATCACCCCAAAGGCCCCGCCTCCAAGTAACGCGGCGTTGGGGATTCGCTTTCAAGGCATTAATTTAGGGAGGACGGAAACACAAACAGTGAGTCCATAGCAGTGCCAAAGAAATAACACTGTGAATGCCTGCATTTAGGCACTGAGAGGAGGGAGGACATCGTCTGAGAAGGTGTAGCATATGCAGTCGTCGGGTGTCTCACCGTGGAGGAGAGAGGAGTGGAGCAAATGAGCCGGACACAGCCACCAGGGTAGAGTCAGGGAGGATGGGCGGGCCGTTGCCCGTGAGAACTAGGAGGCCATCGATACTTCTAGGAGCGAAGGGTTCCGTTAGTACCACAAGGCCGACTTCAAGATGTAATCAAAAGCTTACGCTGGCATTTCCAGACCTTTAGTGGTAAGTAAACGCAAGAAAGGAAAGGATGCGTCGCTCCCTGACTCCAAGAACACCCACAGAGCCGTCTTTAAGGCATGGTGGCAGTAGGCCCGACACGAATTGAACTAAGTGTGCTCTACATGCTGCCTCTGTCTTTTCTCCTCCCTTGGAATCTGGCTTCTGCCTTCAGGGCACTAATGGGACTCTCTGGAAAAGGTGTTTCTTTTTATTTCTGTGCCTGAGCTCTATGGAGTCATTTGAGCTACCTTGATACCCCAGATGGCCCTCTGGATTCTACGGATTAAAATCAGGCACATTTTCCAAGCAATATTTACCAAGCCAAATCTATCACTGACGGCAGAGAAATTATTTTCAGAATTTTTTTTTTATCTTGCTTTTGAATACAGGCTAAAGCCAGAGAAGCTCCGATAATAATGTGATTCACGTTCTATTGGGATATAGCCTACATGTATCATTGGAGAGGTAACACGATTACTCTCTGATATGAAAGCTACTATTTTAAGTGGAGGCAGAGGACAGAGAAAAGTAGAATAGGTTTTCTTGCCTCATTTTGAAGGAAAAAAATATTAATTTCTATAATTCAGTAGTCCCTTATTTTTGAAACCAGACGCAAGATTTACAAAAGCTGTATTTTATGAGGATCGCTATATTACATGTTGTGAGCTATTAGTCTGATGGTGGTGATGGATGCTTTCACATTAACAGTATTGCGAGGGCACTCTAAAATTCTCACATAGATACTGGGGTAATTCTTGCCGACCCATAACCTTGGGAGGGAGGGCACTAGCCCATGACGGGAGCTGGGCTCTGCTTTCCTGGGAGCTCTGACTCACATGTAGCCTTGACCATCTACCACTAAGAACTCCTCCTGCTTCCTGCTTCCTTTCACCTGAACCAGTCTCAATTGTAGCTCTCCTAAATCGTACAGACTCCCTGTCAGCCTCTAAATCATACAGATTCCCTGCCAGCCTCTACCTGTCAGGATACTAGGTGGGATATATACAACGGATTATTAGCAACATTCCTAAAACTGTATCAAATTTTGTGCATCATTGCCCTGTAAAATTCCCCCAATTGTTGTCACTTGATTCTTGACCCTGCAGTACTCTCCCCCTAAAATAGTGCACTTATAAAGCGTCTTGTAACACCTTTTGAAACACTAGTTAAAATTATTAAGGCATAGCTGATTGAGGGAACGCCCCTCCCCTCCCTCTGCGTACGTAGAAATCATGTAAAAAAAAAAAAAAACACCTAAAACTCAATACATGTCCTAGTTAAAAAGAAAAGAGAATTTTCTGAGTGTCAAAAGTGAAGGGAGAATTTTAAATCTGAGAACTGACACTACGTTATTAAGAGCATACACATTTAAGATCGGTAGCTCTCCCTGTTGAACTGATCCTTTCACTATTATAAAATGTCCTTGGTTTTTCCTTGGTAAAACTATGTGCTTGGGGCGCCTGGGTGGCGCAGTCGGTTGAGCGTCCGACTTCAGCCAGGTCACGATCTCGCGGTCCGTGAGTTCGAGCCCCGCGTCGGGCTCTGGGCGGATGGCTCAGAGCCTGGAGCCTGTTTCCGATTCTGTGTCTCCCTCTCTCTGTGCCCCTCCCCCGTTCATGCTCTGTCTCTCTCTGTCCCAAAAATAAATAAAAACGTTGAAAAAAAAAATTAAAAAAAAAACAAAAAAAACAAAAAAAAAAAAACTATGTGCTTAAAATTGACTCTGATGTTTAAATGGTCGCACCAGATTTCTTTTGTTGAGGTTTCTGCCGTCTGTCATGTTTGATCAGTTTACGTTCAATTTATCTGTGTCCTTGCATGGTAAGCGTGTCTTCAAAAATGGCATGTCATTGGGTCTTGCTGTTCTGTTTTCTTTTTAATCCAGCCTGAAAATCTATCCTTTTATTTAGTATATAGTCTGTGTGTAGTCAACTTAGTTTCTGATATAATTAGAGTTAATTCTACCGTCTTTCTCTTTGTTCTTTTATTCCCCTTTCTTGCCTTCATTTGCATCACTCAAGTATTCTCTTTGTTGCTCTATTTGATATGCTCTATTAGCTTTTATGAGAACATATATGTTATTATTTTAGTGATTATGCATCCATGACTCATCAGAGCCTACCTTAAATTAGAATTTTATCAACCTTCCTTAAGATACAATACGCACCACATTTGGCTCTCTTTATTCTTCTGCCTTTTCCTTTGCTATTGTTCCCTTTTTAACTACATCTCAGGAAACCACAGGCATAGTTTTCAGCACAGGGATGACTGTTTCTCTGAGTGGTCTTGATGTTTTCCTAGTTTCCCACCCCAGTGTCCTTCATCTGTGACTACAGTCTTGTACTCTCCTTTGCAAGCGTCTTGCTTCCACCTGAGTAATTTACATTAGTGTTTCATACAGTGCTGTTCTGATGAAAACAAATGCTCTCAGCTTCTGTCGACCTGGAGAAATACTCTTTATTCTGTCCTTATTTTTGAAAGGTATTTTGTCGAGTGAAGACTTTTAGGTTGAGGAATCTTCCAAGACCAGGAGCCTATGGTCTCCCCCATTTCCTGTGTTTGGTGTAAAGGCAGCGGAAAGTCTTACCCCCGTCCCTTGACGTTACTAGGCCCCGTTCACCTCTGGCGTTCAGCAGTCTGACGATGTATGATATGCCTGGATGTGTTTTCTTCGTTGTTGTCCTGCCAAGAGTATGCTGAAATCCTTCCACCTGTGTGTTTGGGGAACTTGAGGGAAATCTTGGAAAACTTCCGTAACTGGAGGAAAATTTTGTGAAAATTCATGCCACTTTCTTTCCAATATTGTCTCTGTTCCAGTTTCTCTGTCCCTCCTGCTGTCACTCCAATTACAGTTAGATGATGTGGCAGTCCTGCCTGTCTGCTTTACCCTGTAGTACTTCAGAAGGAAAAAAAAATAACCACTGCGAGTTTTGATTTGTATCTAAAGGAAGTGACCCCTCTTTCATAGTGTCGTATCTTACGGCATAGCATACATTAGAAGACATTTCTGTAAATGAGGCAAGATCAACCCAACACTTATTCAGACCATTGGGAAAAGCAATACTACAAAGTCATGCATTTAGCAATACAATCTTGCGGGGCAACTGGGTGGCTCAGTCCGTTGGGCACCCGACTCTTGGTTTCCACTCAGGTCACGATCCCCGTATTGTGGGATCCAGCCCTGCGTTGCCTTCTGAGTTCACTATGGAGCCTGCTTAAGATTCTCTTCCTCTCTCTCTCCCTCTCCCCACTCCCTCACTCATGCTCTCTCTCTCTCTCTCTCTCTAATTAAAAAAAAAAAAAAAAAGAAAGAAACACAGTCTTGCTGTATGATTCCTTCGGAGTCAGATGTGAAGGTGAAATTTCCAGTGTCTAATTCTGTCATTCTGAATGTAACATGCACATTAGAGGACCCACAGGCCACAGTTGTGTATGATATGGTTGCCTTTATAGCTGAGAAATCGCAAGTTTTCTGGGTGTTTCCTTCTTCCCTGTCTCACAAGCCTGACCTCATATGAGGGGCAGAAATTTTACTGTCTTGTTTCAAACTCAGGGAATGAGGCCAGCATCTGTGCTGCTCTGGAGAGACGCCATTACTTACTGCTCCAGAAGGTTCCTTCATGCAACTCCGCCCTTCCCAGGGCCTGTTACTTCACGTACACTGCCCTGTTCTCTACTCCTGCTTTCCTCCAGCAACACTGTTGCACGTGTTCAGGAAAGCGAGGCATTCTTTCCCTCTGCAGCGGGCATCAGCACTTCTCCAGCGTGTGGTCTCACTCTTCAAATTGACTGAGCTTTTGTGGGTTAAATATATCGATGCCGACCATATTAAAAAGTAAAGCTGAAATTTTGCTGAAAATATGTATTTATTAGTTAATTAAGGGGGCGCCAGGGTGGCTCGGTCAGTTAAGCATCCGACTTCAGCTCAGGTCATGATCTCACGGTTCATGAGTTCGAGTCCCATCTCGGGCTCTGTGCTGACAGCTCAGAGCCTGGAGCCTGCTGCGATTCTGTGTCTGCCTTGCTCTCTGCCCCTCCCTCACTTGCTCGCTCGCTCTCTCTCAGAAATAAATAAGCATGAAAAAAAAATTTTAAATATAGTGATGAACCTGTTGTATGTTAGCATAAGTAACACTTTTATGAAAAATATACTTTCCAAAATTAGGAAAAATGGGACAAGAGTGGCATTGTTGTGTATTTTAGCAAAAATCTTCAATGCCTGGCTTAATAGCAGAGAGTGGGCCTCTCAGAATAGGCTTTGGCATTCAGGTCTCCTGCGAGTTTACATGTGCGTTACCGCTGAAAGTTCATGGAAGAAAAATCCCAAAGGGCCAATAAACGTATGAAAAGTGTCCAGTCTCCACACTTATCAGAGAAATATCAATTTAATCCATAATTACACACCAACTTATTTCTGTCAGATTGGCAAAAGTTAAAAACTCTAACAACCCAAGCATGTGGAGAAAAGAATTCTTATCTGTTGCTGGGGCTTTAAATAAATAAAATAGCTACTAAATTGGAATATTCTCACCACTTAATCACAGAAGAACGCTCTTGGCTTTGCATCTTAAAGTAACGATTGCTGGGATGCCTGGGTGGCTCAGTCGGTTAAACATCTGACTTTGGCTCAGGTCATGATCTCACAGTTCATGGGTTCGAGTGCTGCATTGGGCTCTGTGCTGACAGTGCAGAGTCTGCTTCAGATCCTCTGTCCCCCGCTCTGCCCCTTTCCTGTTCATACTCCCTCTCTCTCTCTCTCAAAAATAAACATTAAAAATATTAAAAAATATTAAAGTAACCATTGCACATGTGCACAAGGGGACATGTGAACTAGTGCTCATTGTAACATTGTTCGTAAGAGAAAAAATTGGAAACCTAACCCTTTTTAAATAAAAGAATGGAAAATTATATCACGATATACTTATATAGGTATTATGTTACGAACATTAGAACAATATTATATGTAATATTCTAACCATGGTACGTTATGTACCAATTAATAGGACGAGTAGGGGCGCCTGGATGGCTCAGTCAGTTGAGTGTCCAGCTCTTGGTTTTGGCTCAGGTCGTGAGCCCAGGGTCATAGGGTTTGAGCCCCGTGTCAGGCTCCGTGCCGAGCTGTGGAGCCTGCTTGGGATTCTCTCTTTCTCTCCCTGTGCCCCTCTCCCCTGCTTGCACTGTCTCTCTCTAAAAGGAAAAAAAGAAAAAAAAAATAGGAAGAACAAAAGCTTTACAGCAACCTGAGTAACAGCATTTATGGGTAATTCCATAAAGCTATGTGTTAACATGGCTATAACTTTAAAACAATGTCGATGGAAAACACAAACTATACAAACTTATGTACTGTGTGAAAAATACATGAATATGTATTAAGTATCTATTCGAACATTAATATGTGTAGGAATGCTGCAATTCTGTTTATGGTAGCAGTTAATTCTAAGGAGAGAAGGAGAGGAGAGGGATTCATTCTGATTAAGACAAAAGAAAGAGATCTCCTCAACTGGTGTGTTATTTTTTTTTTAATGATAAATATCCCACATTATGCTTTGACAAATCTGGATGATGCGGGTATGTGTATTTTTGTGTGTGTGTGCGTGTGTGAGCACACGTGCGTGTTGTAAAGTAAGCTCTAAGCCCAGCCTGTGGCTTGAACTCATGATCCTGAGATCAAGAGTTGCACAGTCTACAGACTGAGCCAGCCAGGTGCCCCTGAAGGCATGTGTGTTTCTTAGAGTTAGTTATTTCTCTATTATTTATTTATTTATTTATGAGAGAGAGAGAGAGAGAGAGAGAGAGAGAGAGAGAGAGACAGAGCAAGAGCGGGCCAGTGGCAGAGAGAGGGAGACACAGAGTCCGAAGTAGGTTCCAGGCTCTGAGCTGTCAGCACAGAGCCTGATGTGGGGCTCGAACCTATGGACTGTGAGATCGTGACCTGAGCCAAAGTCAGACGCTTAACCGACTGAGCCCCCCAGGCGCCCCTTCTCTCTCTATTTTAATGTACATACAAGTAAATGTAACATACAAAATTAAAATAATACGTCTAAAAATGTTAACAATCTCACTCCGAGATAAAACTAAGCTGTCACCTGCACTCAGTTGAGGAGTGTGCACGAATGCTGGTGGCCCAGGACTTCCCGGCCACCTCTCTGGTAGTGCTGTAGGGTACTCATGAGGCCCGCTGTGAGCCCCCGACCAGCTGAGCCTTCTGTGGCCCAGGCTCTGGGAGCGCCACATCCCTGGATTTCAAGACTGAGCAGTGCAGGAGGACAAGCAACGTGTACAAGAGACACGGCCCAGGCCACCAGGCACACTGACACTGCTCGCCTGTCGCCTACATTATGACACGCAATGAGGAAGCCAGCGTATTCGAGGCACCCTGCCGGCAAAACCCTCCACTGGCACAGGGACAGAAATACAGCCAGTGAGCTGGTCCTCGATGCTTGTGGCTCTCAGGAAGCACCCGTATTCATTGTTGAGAGGGGACAGTGGCCTCTTCCCCAGCAAGCTGGCTTCCAAGCTTTGGGGTAGAAGTCTGCATAACAGACATTCAGGGAAAACTGTCTCTTGATTTCTGCTGGATTCCACATATGTTCTATAAAAGCACAGTTTTACTGACCAACTAGAAACATGATAGAAGCAATTTCCTTCGAAAAATCGTTTAAATACAGTAAAAGTATTTTGAAAAAGACACAAAGGTACTCCAGCCCACGGACTCTCTAGGTACAACTGAGTTGAAACCATCTCTTCAAGGGCTTTGACGATTTTCAGGAAAAATGTCACCTTGAGGGGATTCTAGCAGATAGAATCCTGGTTCAGACTACTGAGTGGTCCCACCTCTGAGCATTAGTTCAGGAACCAGAATGACTTTCTCCTTTGGCCGCATCCCCAGATCAGCTTCCTGGGTGTGCCTCATGTGGAGGGGGGTGGGGGCGGGCAGCGGGGCAGGGCAGGGGTCGGGGGGGTGGGAGCGAGACAGGGTAGGGGAAGCGGCAGCAGAGAAAGGTCATGTGGGACTTGGAACGTTCCTGGCACCTCCCGACCTAGCTGCTCTCCGCTGCACCTGCGAGCCCATTTGGGCTATCCGGGTGAGCCTCTGAACCAATCCTTACAGGTCATTACAGGTCACACCAGGTGACAGGCTCCTTGCTATCCAAGGGAGGGGCAATCTCTTTTTTTCCCCTTTTTCTTTTCTCCCCCCCCCCCCCCGCCTCTCTCCCCGCACCTCACATCTCTGAGTTTCTGACAGCTTAACTTGACAGAACTCATGAATAAGAACACCAAGCAGATTACTTTGCATTTTCTTGTCACGGAACTGTTTGTGCAGTCTCTTGGGGGGGGGGGGGGGAAGAATAAATTCCACAAAGGAGGAAGTTCATGCTTAGGAAGCTTTTTTTTGCAAACTCATTAAATTGATGGCTTTTGGAGAGGGATCAAGGAGAGAAGCCAAGATGGGGAAGAAAAAAAGAAAAGCAAAGAAAAAAGAAAGCACTCAGTGTAATCTGCTTTCCAGAATAAGGTTTTTACTATGTATGTTGGTCAATGGAAAACAATGGAAGACAAACCTTGGTGAAATGTACTAGCAATAAGTATTGAGCTAAAATTATAAGGTGCAGACAAGAAGGGAAGGAAGGGAGGGAGGGAGGAAAGAAAAAATCAAGTGAAATCGCACGTGGAATAGCTACATATGTATCATATATCCTTAAAAATACAAACTCTGCAACATATAAAACATGCCAAATACACAAAGGTAATGAGAACTATCAGGGCCATGCTTTTGCATGTATCCTATTAACCATTGTGGTGAAGCAGGGCGGAGATGGGAAATTTAAGGAAGCGCTTGAAAATGTCAGAAGAATTTCATTCACAAGAGGCTTATTTCAGGTTACAAAGGCCTAAACCAGGAAGTAGCAAGGCTATTTATAAAGACAATCTCCTACACAGTAAATAACATAATAAAGAAAAGTGAGCTTTCTTCTGATTTTTGTAGAATGTGGGGTAAAACTGATCCCAGAATGTCCATTTCACTTCGTTTTTCATTGTATCTGGATATCAGCAGAAACTTAACGCATAAAGGACCACATCCGTAACCATCCCCGTGCGTGCACAGGTGTGCATTTTTCCTGGGGCACACGTCAGGCAAACGCAGTGTGCAATGTTATTAAAAGTGCTCCATAGCGATGGGTTTGGGGAGCCACTAGATGTCAGCATCTGATCATTCTCTGGAAAAGACCCGGGCTGCCTTTTATTTCTCTCTGCGACAGACTTTCTGTTCAGCCATTTTCTCTATCCATAGAAAGAGTGAATGTGAAACTGTATGCCACTTAAAATAATCATATCACATGTAACAAAAGATCAGCAATTCTCCGGTGCAACTACTCTTCCAAAGAGAAGTTTTATGACCTGTTAAGTAGTGCAGAGATATTAATACAAATATCTTGATGTATGTGTGTGCAATATAGATACACACATATCAAGACATATATATACACACACACATATATATACACACAGATTGATATAGATATATAATGCACATTTCCATGATTTGAGAAGGAATTGATTAAAATATATTCTTAGCTCCTTAAGCTCTCCACAAGTGCCTCCCTCTTTTCAAGAGGATTTCATATGTTATATCAAGGGGAAAATGAAGACGTGACCATTTCCTGCATTGTTACTCTAATTGTAGATTTAGCCCTTTCTACATTTTGTACCGTTATATTTGGATGTCTAACACCTTTGCAGAACTATTGTTTCTTTGAGGGCTAGGAGAATCTCATGCCCATCCTGCGTGCAGGGTAAAACGCGGTGAGTGGATGAATGTACAGATTAGTCACAAGGAAATAATTTTAAGAACAAGTCATCATGTCTCTTAAGCCAGACCATGAGTTTTGAAGAAGGCATGTTGGATAATACTTGTCACTGCATTTCCTCGGACTACAGGTATGAGGCATCTTCAAATAGCAACTAAGGAATTATGGTTTGCCTTTTTCTGTGTATCACTTTCTCCCAACACCTAACTTTTGAGAGAGGAAAGCCAGGGAGAGAGAGAGAGAGAGAGAGAGAGAGAGAGAGAGAGAGAGAGAGAGAACTACAAAGGATACAATCAAATGACACCTTCCGGAACCCTCTGCCTACAGTTGACAATGGGTATTATATAAAATCGATGTAAATGTGGTGTTGGATTTGGGGAAGAGAAGGGTGCAGATGGAAATGGGGAATTTTGACACTCGCCAAGGTCTTAAAGATCACTTAGCAATGGTTTCCTGTTGTGGCTACAGTTTGGGTGGATTTGCGTTCAGTCCTTTGGGTAACACCATTCTTCCAATCCCAGTTTTAAAACAAGGCCTCCCCTTTTCCCTGAGAAACTGTAGCTACAGACTGAGATTGTAAAATCTATTCATTCATATCGATTCAGTGGAAGTCCGTAAGGCACTGTGCTAGGTTCTGGGGTGGGAGTGGGTTGGGTACGGAGATGTATTCAAAAGAGTCCCTGTTCCAAAGTTTAAAATGAATCATATAACTAAATTACAATATATTATGGTCTTAACGTTCCATAATTTATTAATACTTGAAACTCACATAGGACAATTAGGCAGAGGACATTGAATCCTCTTGCAAAAAAAAAAAAAAACCCTCATTAGTGCATTTAACATACAGAGAGATCAAATCTAACCAGCTTTTTTTAGATAAAGTAATTGAAATTTTTAGATAAAATGGCTTGCTGCAGGCTATGCAGTGAGATGAGATTATATAACCATCTTCACTAGCAAGTGGTGCTAGTCTGTCCTAGAATTCCTAAGTAGAATCTTGATTGGAAACAATAGCATCAATAGCATCAATAGCATCACTATTAATACGATGATGCTGTGGGATTACTCCTGGGCACCAAATATTTGGTGGAAGAGAATTTATTTCAGCTTATCCCAGAGGAGTATGTAAGATTTGCCCTTCCTTTCGCTTCAAATCTATTTACCCCCAATCCCCCCAGCTTTAGCTCTCTCCTCTCTGACTCTGTTCACTCTTTAGTAACTCAATCGAGGGATGTTGGAGAAAGAGATCAGGTCCGTCCACGTGCACCTGGAGACATTCTCTCCTTCCTGTTGGTGAGCCGAGCGCTGGCAGCAGCGGATTGTCACTCAGCCAGGGACCAGATGGAGTGACAGAATCCCCGCGTGCAGACAGCCCTGAGGAGCTGCGCAGGGACCGCATTCAGGAGCCATTTAGTCCTCAATCTGCCTTCACATCGTCTTTATGATTCTCTGAGAAATGTCTAGTTTCTTTACCGGAACGCTGAACTGAATGACCTCACCAACTTTTATCCTCATCAGACGATGACTCTGCCGTAAGAACAGCAGTTCAGACTCCCAGGGATTGTAAGTGAAAGCCTAAAACAGACTCTGGTAGCTTGCATTTTATTCTTTATTTGTATGTATTTTTCAACATGATATTGACAGGATGTTGCATACGACTTATTAGCGCTAATATCATGACGTCCGCTATTTAATAAAATTGAGATGAAAGACTGGTAAAAATAAGCCAAAGAAAATATTTGGGAAAATAACCAGCTATTAATTTGAAGACAGATAACTCACCAATTCGTTACGGAGCAGGGAGAACCAACCATAGTGAGCAGGGACTCGTTTGAAGCTGGTAGAACCTGTCCCACTATTTATTTCACCTGCG